GGACTCTCAGTTGGCCAAACCTCACCAGTAACTGTAAGCCAACCCACTGATGAAGTGCATACAGATTACACAGGCACATAGAAGGGTGGACCGGGGTAGACAGATTTTGAAAGCTGAGCAAAAATATCTGGTATAGCACCATTCTAAGTAATTTTAGATGTATGAGCACATTTAATTCTCCTAATAATCCTATGAAATACCATTAGTATCCCCAGAGAAACGGATAATACAAGAAGAAAAATTTAGCTGAGCAGTGATAACTTCAGAGAGTTTAGAGCAGACATTGCCTTCACCAAATAAAAACAGAAACAATGATAGAAAAAGGAAAAACTTTCCACAATAAGAACTATGATTGCAACCCCCTTGTCCAGTTAATAGAAGGTTTAAAAGACAAAGGTGAGAACATGTCTCTGAATACAGAACAAAACATAAGAAAATAAAAGTAAGAATAAAGAGATAAGAATATTTTAAAATAAACCCAGAAGGTAAGACATCAAACCTAGCAGATTCAACATCTCTTTCTGGAGTTTTCAAAGAGTTCCTCAAAGAGCAAAGAGAAAAATGTAAGAAAGAAAATATCAAATTAGGTCATGTTTAGTGTTTTTTTAAAAAAAGAATAGAGGAATTTTTTTTTTTTTTTTTTTTTTGTTTGAGACAGAGCCTCAAGCTATCCCCCTGGGTAGAGTGCCGTGGCATTACAGCTCACAGCAACCTCCAACTCCTGGGCTCAAGCGAGTCTCCTGCCTCCACCTCCCAAGTAGCTGGGACCACAGGCGCCCGCCACAACGCCCGACTATTTTTTGGTTGCAGCCGTCATTGTTGTTTGGCGGGTCCGGGCTGGGGATTCGAACCCGCCACCTTAGGTGTACGTGGCTGGCGCCTTAGCCGGTTGAGCTATAGGCGCCGAGCCAATAGAGGAATATTTTTAAAAATAAAAGCAAGAAAATATCAAAGAAAAAAATTTAAGGCAGAATTCCAGATTCTCTGGATTTGAGGCGGCTACCCAAGAATGCAGTACCAGTGAAAAGACTCAGGCTGAGGCCACATTATTGAGAAATTTTATAGCATGCCCAAATGTGAAAGGTATTATTAAATAACAATGAAAACTATTATATATGAATGGTTTTCAAAGTGATTTCACATGCACTGTCTCCCTTTTAAATGGGTTGAGGTGTTCAGTGTCCCATGTCACAAACAGGGGAACAGAAACACTGAATAGAACAAGGTGACATTTTTCAAACTTTTCACAGATGAGATGGCACAGTTAATTATTACTTAGGTGTATTTGTGTGTGAATGTATACGAGTAAATGGATAAGCTTTGGAATGCATGTCCAAGGCCCTAAACTGAATAATTAGCTCTCAAGACAGAGTAAGCACCTTCTAATTCCTTGCTATTCCCCCAGGTCAACTGATGAACTGCCTTGACTGGGTGGATCTATCTTTGTTGAAACAGGATTCTGGTTATGAAGAGTTTTGCATTCTGAGCTGCTGCAGGCTGTGCTGGGAATGGAAACTAAAGCAGTCAGCGGTGGTGACCACAACCCAGAAGCTAAAACCACATTCTAATTTTCATAAATTGCTAGTTCTGGCTCTGTTCATTGCTTATAACTTTTCGTTTAGATCACAAAGATTACGTTTAGTTGCGTGTAAAATAACATCTTGAAAATGGACTGAAGAAAACCATTTAGTTCTCAGTAATTTGTACTAACCAACACATTGTCAGAGTGAACATTTTCTTTTTTTTTTTGAGACAGAGTCTCACTATGTCCCCCTGTGTAGAGTGCTGTGTTGTCACAGCTCACAGCAACCTCCAGCTCTTGGGCTTAGGCAATTCTCTTGCCTCAGCCTCCTGACTAGCTGGGACTACAGGTGCCTGCCACAATGCCCGGCTATTTTTTTGTTGCAGTTTGGCCAGGGCTGGGTTCAAATCCAACACTCTCAGTATATGGGGCCGGCGCCCTACTCACTGAGCCACAGGTGCTGCCTTGTTTGGTCTTTTTTTTTTTTTTTTTTTTTTGAGACGGAGCCCCAAGCCATCCCCCTGGGTAGAGTGCCATGGCATCACACTCACAGCAACCTCCAACTCCTGGGCTCAAGCGAGTCTCCTGCCTCCGCCTCCCAAGTAGCTGGGACTACAGGCGTCCGCCACAATGCCTGGCCATTTTTTGGTTGCAGCCATCACTGTTGCCTGGCGGGCCCGGGCTGGGGATCCGAACCCGCCACCCCAGGTGCATGTGGCTGGCGCCCCAGCCGCTTGAGCCACAGGCGCCGAGCCTTGTTTGGTCTTTTCATCTAAAAACTGTTCTTTGTGGGAAAGAAAACCAACCATTTTAATTAAAGAAAAGTGGACTGACATACTAGTAAGAATTTCAAAGTGAAATGTGCCTTTTATTTAGCCTCAAGTTCATCAGCCATTACTTAAACTAGCAGTAAGATTCAACACTTTTTTTCTCTAATGACTATGATTTATTGTTTATCCATAGTATGGATTCAAGATACGAAGGTCTGACAATTAAGTTTGTGAACTTATGCGCCGCATACTTATGTTGGCAGCTCTGTACAGTTCCATAAGGTTTCATAAGCGTGGTATATCAGTGTCTCACAGTTGTGTTCATATCTACGTGTGGTGGTGTCTTGCTGAGTGGATTTATTATCATTGTTGCATGTTTTCATGTGCTGGCATGAGAATGCCAGAGCTTAAATTAGAGCAATGAACATTTGTCAGTTTCTTCTCAAACCTGGCAACAGTGGAAGTGAAATCAGGACATGTTAGTCCAAGTTTATGGGGATAATGCCATGAAGAAAATGGCAGTGTACAAATGGAGTAAATGTTTTTCTGAGGGGAAAGAAAGTGCCACTGGTGAAGAGAGATCAGTGTAGCCAGTAATGAGCAGAACTGAAGAAAACATTGCAAAAATTCATCAAATTGTGTGTCAAAATTGTTCGCTGACTGTGAAAAGCATAGCAGACCAAGTAAAGTGGACAGGAGGCCTGGGTATGCTCCTAGAGGAAGGAAAATCTTGGCCAATAACTCATAGCTCTTACATTATGAAAATATACCAGCTCACGTGGCACTATGAGGTAGTTTTTAGCCAGTAAACAAGTAACTGTATTGGAACAATCTCCCTACTCACCTGATCTGGGCCCCAGTGACATTTTGATGACATTCAGGAAATCAAGGATGACATGATGACAGCTCTTATGGCCATTCTACAAAAAAAGAGTTCCAAAGTTGCTCTGCAGGGTGAACTAGGTACTAGCGTCAGTACACAGAACAGGGGAGTGCTTTGACGACGACAGTAGTGATATTCACCAATGAGGTACGTAGCACTTTTTCTAGGATGAGTTTGTGAACTTAATTGTCAAGCCTTGTGGGATTATTAAAAATGAATACATGAGTAAATAGAGAATGCTTGAAAAAATGCTTAGAAACATGAATTTTATAAAAGCTTTGATACACCAAATCAAAACATTTATTTCAATCCATACCCTATTTTAAAGTTTGTATTCGGAAACCACAAGCAAAAATTTTGGAAAGAACTTCCTTAAGAGAGTAGTTGAAATTTGATGTTTGTAAGGGAAACACTGTACACAAAAAGGGTAACATTTTAATGTAATTTATTTGAAATGCTTCCAGAAAAGTTTAAGGCCATTATACAAAAACATTCATTTCATCAAAACATTCATTGACTTTCTTTCCATAGGCCAACATTTTACAACCCTTGTTTCTTAATACATTTGCCAAAGTGGCCGATGGCTCCTGCAAAGAACAATTCATTCTTTTCTTCACCATCAAAAGGCTTTTCGTGGCTTTTCTCTGCTTCTGTCTGCAGCAGGTTCACTCACTCACTAAATCAATAATAACTTGAGAAACAGAGCAATTTTAAATAAAGTTGTAATAGAAAAAATTCACCATGTTTAAAGTCTATAAATACAGAAATATGTTTTACAGGGTAAAACTGACCACGATCTTTTTTTCTTTTTGAAAAACAATAAAGTAATATACCTTGCATTTTTATTGTTATATCTTGTCACACAGCTTCTTTGAATGCACATGATATATGTACACAATTATATGACAACATTGTATTTACTGCTCTGTTTTGTGTAAACTTGAAAGACACAGAAAATTAAAAAAAAACCTTTTTGGCAATAATTTAGAATCATTACTACTAGTGCTGGTGTGGGTATAATTTTGCACAGGTCATCTTTAGTATTTACATTTGCAGAGAACATTTCTATGTATTTAGTTGACTTTTTTTTTTTTTTTTTTTTTTTTGGAGACAGAGTCTCACTCTAGCTCACAGCAACTTCAAAATTCTGGGTTCAGGCAATCCTCTTGCCTCAGCCTCCCAAGCAGTTGGGACTATAGGCACCTGCCAAAACGTCCAGTTCAATTTTTTATTTTTAGTAGAGACAGGGTATCTTTCTTCCTCAGGCTGGTCTCGACCTCCTGAGCTCAAGAGATCCTCCCAACTTGGCCTCCCAGACAGAGTGCTAGGATTACAGGTGTAAGCCACTCTGTCCAGCCAATTTAGCTGACTTTTTTCAAGGTCTGCACGCTACCCTGCACTATAAAATCAAGGTTGGACAAGGAGGTTACTTGTTTGGCTTGCTGATCCTAATTAATCAGAATTAATGAAACTGGCTTCTGGAGCATGTGATTATAATTCTGATACAACACAGAATCAGAGATGGCAAATTGACCACCTAAAAGCAGAGCAGGAAACCCCAAGGCCCTGGCCTTTCTCAGAATGCACTGGGCCATGCATTTCTCTTTTAATAGTTCCCATGTTAGGTTCTGAGGAAGTGCTCCTCATTGCAAATTCTTCCTCTCCTGTGTTTCTATAGTCACTTACAGTCACAGCCTGTTTTCTGTGTCACTTCATTCACACTCTAAGTGTAGGCCTAGGCAGATGAAACAAAATGAAGACAGGGCTTTCTCGTTATCTTGGAACGTTTTCCCAGGTCCTCTGGGTTCTATTCTGATGTTTTAGCTTGGCCACCAACTATGAGAGACACCTCTTGGTGTCACGCGCTTTTAGTTAAAGATTCACAGCTGGCAGCTGCTTTTGTCTTGAACCTTTTAAGGTCAGCCTTTATTTCATGTCCTAACAGATTCTGACATCAAACTTGCACTAGATGAAATTTCAAGGTTCAGACAATGTTTCCTCCTTTGCAAAATGAAGCCTTCAGAATCTCCAAGTATGTTTTCAGAGAACTGACTTCACTTCAAGGGTTGATCTTTCCTGCTTCTCTCTCCAGTGCCATCCTGAAACACAAATGACTTCCCCATACTGTGTTTTCATGGCTCTCTAAATCCATGCCTTTAGCTATCACATCAAAGAGCTGGAAACGCACTAAAGAGGCACAGGAGGAAGAACTCTTCAAGCAACCTACATAAAACAGTAGTTGAGAGATTCTTTTTCTTTCTATTCTTTGAAAATCCAGCAGGACAACTGAAAGTAACTTGTTCAAGTACCTCTCCATCCATCCAGACATTTGTGAAATACAATACAGGGTAACAGTTGCCATAGATTCCAGCTTACACAGACAGATTGGCAGTTACAGTACTAGGGACAAAGGTACAGATATAGGAGACTGGGCCAACATGGTCACAAAAGTATTAAAAAGTGCTTCTCCAAACTGTTCCATGTGTGGAATGCAAATACTGTACAGGTAAGACACAGGGCTACTTCTGGGAAGTAAACTCCGTCAGACATGGCTTTCAACTTGCCTGCTGTTCCCACAGGGAGAGTCTGTCTGTTCCATGCGCTCGCAGTCGAGGCTGACCTCACTGGTGTCCATACTACAGTCTGACTCGCTGTCGGATTGGTCCATCTGCTCAAGTTTTGTTTCTGCCTGTGGCTCCCTGCTCCCAGTGGTGGGATTTAGGAAAGGTCCCTCGGAGTCGAGCACTCCAGCCTGCCCGGCAGCACACAGAACTGTTTCTTTGGCTTGACGAATACAGTTGAGCCACTGTTGTTTGTTGAAGGTGTCATTGGCTTGGAGTGAGTGGGTCTGGCTTTGGGATCCATTTTTGAAGCTGACTCTGAAGAAGTTTTTAACTAGAAATGAAAAATATGTGGGGGGAAAATGTCAGTGGACAAGTATTTCCCCAGGCCAAAGATAACACACGTGGTGATACTAACCCCCAGTAACCAAGGCAGACATGACTGATTACAACAGGTTTCCCACTGACCCAGGACATGGCTCAGGTCCCCGCTAAGCTGCCATCTGTCAGTTGGAGTAGGTATAGTCTAGCTCTCAGTTTCCCTTATTGCTCTCAGAAACTTGCAAGTCGGTATTATCTTGGGTATTATACCAAACCTGGCTGCATAACAAAATCCTCTGGGGTGACCTTGTTAAAAACAGAGATCCATGGGTTCTACCCTTAGAGATTCTGATTCAATAGGTCTAAGGTGGGTCTGATAATCAATAATTTCAATAAGTACCCTAAGCTAGAGCTTTTTCCTATTTAAGAAGTTCTTTTTAGGGCAGTGCCTGTGGCTCAGTGAGTAGGACCCCAGCCCCATATACCGAGGGTGGTGGGTTCAAACCTGGCCCCAGTCAAACTGCAAGAAAAAAAAAATAGCCGGGTGTAGTGGCAGGTGCCTGTAGTCCCAGCTACTTGGGAGGCTGAGGCAAGAGAATCACTTGAGCCCAAGAGTTGGGGGTTTGCTGTGAGCTGTGATGCCAGAGCACTTTACTGAGGGCAACAAAGCAAGACTCTGTCTCAAAAAAAAAAGTTCTTTTTAACATCAGTACATGCCTATGACTCTCCACATGAGAGTTAGTAACTGTATACTTAGTATCCAATGATTAAAAACACACATAAAGATAAATTTGATTTTGTTTTAAAGTGAAATTACATTTTAATTATCCCAGCAGGAGCTACATATATACATTTAAAAAAATGGTACTGTGCAATATGGAAGACACTTTAATCTAAAAACAGCAACATAATGCAAATTTAATGAGTCCTATGTACCACATGCAATGCCCGGTTCATGGAAGTGTCAACTGTCAGTCCCTTTGCACTAACCCCATAGCCAGCAGGCTGGGAAACACCACTTCAGATGGTTTAGAGTGGTGGTTCTCAACCTGTGGGTCGTGACCCACAGGAGCTATATTAAAGGGTTGCAGCATTAGGAAGGTTGAGAACCACTGGCTTAGAGGCTAAGGCAGAGCAGACCAAATCAGTCTCTGCTAGTCACCTTTGGCTCAAAGATAATCACTGTCCCTTAAGTTAGCTTCCATTCTTTTATCTTAAGCAACCGCCTTAACTCCTCTATGTCTCAATTTCCTTATTTATAAAATGGGAAAAAAACCACTTTACAAGGTTGTGATGAAGAATATATATGTGAGAACACATGTAAGTGCTTATACACTTGGCACATAGTCAGTACTCAAGAAATAGAAGCTTTTCTTGCTACTACTATTACTCTCGGGGCAGAAGGATTTATTAGTAGGTATGAGAAAGTACATACTAATTACTTTTTTTTAAAAAACAAGTATGAGGTCTTTGTGTTTTTTAAAATTTCAGATTAATATATTGGTACAAATGATTAGGTTATATTGTTTGCATTTGTTAGGTAAAGTCCAAATTGTAGGTAGTTGCATACTAATTACTTTGACAATATGCCTATGTCAGGGTTGCCCTGACTACCTCATCTAAAACAGATCTCTACCTTCTTTATTCCCTTATTGGGTTTTAGTTTCTTAACAGCACCTAGAACATTTATTTATCATTTATCTCCTTCATCATGATGTAAGCTCCACAGGGGCAAGGAAGTTAACTGCTTGCAAGTGCCTAGAACAGTGCTTGACACACGAAATATACTCGCTAGACAGTATTATTTTAGCTTGCTTTGGTTAATTTCTTTGTTAACTAAATCTCGAGTTAGAAAAGCCTATTTGAGAAATGTTACAGATGAGCCCTCATTCTAGGTGACCAAACCATCTTTAGAGACAAGTATACCAGCTCCAATATAAAACCCACCATAATGCAATTGGTATCCACATAAGGACTATCTGGTATTAAGCACATTTTTATCTGATGGAAGGAGAAAGGGAGCTTAAGGAGTATTAATTATGTGCAAGGCAGGTTCATTTACAAAATCTTACTTAACCCTTATAATAACCTTATGGAGGTGGTATGTATGCATCTCCATTTTGCAGATGGAGAACTGAGAATCACAGAGGTTAAACAAAGTTACACAATCAGTAGGTGATGAGATAGTAAATATCATTTGTCAAGGCTGTGGTTCTTTTTCTTTTTCACCGGCCAGCTACTCCCTCTGAACTACCACAACCAAAAATACTCAGCAGGTCGACCCTGACTGCCGCGTACTTCTCTCGTTGTTGCTGAATGCTCCTCTCAGGGAGCCGCCCAGCCTCACTTCTCCGTCCTGCAGGTCTTCCAGCAGGAGGTCCTTCACTGGGATCGGCTGACGGTACAACTGGTAGCAGAGCTGCTCATTGTGGGTGATGGCTCGAGTGATCACAAGGACTTCTTGGAACAGGAAAACATGAAGTTTCTAGAAGAAAAGAATCCACAGGATTTCCCTAAGCAACAATCTTATGAGTGGCTGATTTGTGCACCTCTGTGGATAGAGAGTAGAGAGGATCTAGAGTGCCAGGTTCACAGTGGATTATGAATCTAGGCTCAAACTACCTCCAGGAGAACAAAACTTTGGCAGGCCTGAGGCATTTCCAGAAATTTCATTGCTTTTCCTATGAGAACAGCTTCCTGAAGGCCAACTGGAGAAATCCCTTCTGTCTACAGATACCTTGCAGCCTGGGTTGCCAACTCCAGGGGTCCTATTCACATTGTAATTAACAACCTGTGTAGACAGACAAAGCCTTCAGTTCTTATTCTTTGAGACAGAGCCACAAGCTGCCCTGGGTAGAGTGCTTTGGCATCACAGCTCACAGCAACCTCCAACTCCTGGGCTCAAGTGAGTCTCCTGCCTCTGCCTCCCCAAGTAGCTGGGATTACAGGCGCCTGCCACAACACCTGGCTATGTTTTGGTTGCAGCCATCATTGTCGTTCGGCGGGCCAGGGCTGGATTTGAACCCACCAGCTCAGGTATATGTGGCTGGCACCTTAGCTGCTTGAGCCACAGGAGCCGAGCCAGCCTTCAGTTCTAATAAGAAAAAAAAAATGATAAAGGGGAATAGGATGAAGCGGGTAGTAAAGGGAAAAACAGTTAGCACTCCCCTGGCTTTGATTTATACATGAATTACCTAATGTAATTCTAAGAGACCAAAATTAATAATGGTCTATAAAGGATGAGATTGGCATATCGAAGTCTAATGTTAATATTTGCTTCCCAAACTCATAAAAAATACTTGCTCCTTCAACCACAAAGCTGATTATCAGCTTCATTTAGGGATTTCAACAGAGAACACTGGTCAATTGCATAGCTCAATTCCATGCTTCCATAACCACAAAGAAAGATGTGTAAAATTTTCCTTCTCAGGTAAGCTTATCAGAACCTTGGTTCTCTGAAGAAGTCCTGCTTAAAACACTGACAACTGATGTATGTGTTGTAGGCAAAAAGAAAATGCAGCTTGTCTCAAACTGTATCATGGGAGCAAGTCTACTTGGTAGAGTTGGGGCAAATTTGGTCCATTTAATGCTAAGTCCTCTGAAAATTTGGAAATGCTGAGGGAAGTGAAAATATTCACAACTTTGCAGCTAAGTTCTGGTTTTCTGGTGGAAACATTTTGGAATGTCAACTCAGGGGCCTCGAAGGGGAGACCAGAATGGGAGGGGAGTAGAAACTCAGATTAGAATCTTGATTTAGGGTAGAGGAAGCACATTCAGCACTATCGTATGATGATCTCCTACCCCTATCCCGCCACATACATGTGTATACACACATATACACACAAACAAAAACTGCAGAAATAAAAACTTAACCAAATCTTGACTGGTGGGAATAAAATATATCTACATTTTAAAAGATTGAAAAACAGAGTAAAGCACAAAGCAACCAAGTTAAGGCTTTTTAAGGGTGGGGCAGTAGAAAGAAGGTTTTAAGAACTTCCTTTCAGCCTAAGCAAGGGTGAGACCCTGTCCCTACTAAAAAAAAAAAAAAAAGAAAAGAAAAAAGAAAAAGAAAGAAAAACTAGCCAGGCATTGTGGAGGGTGCCTGTAGTCGTAGCTACTTGAGAGGCTGAGGCAAGAGGATTGCTTGAGCCCAACAGTTTGAGATTGCTGTGAGCTATGACACCATAGCTCTCTATCCAGGGCGACAGAGTGAGACTCTGTGTCAAAAAAAAATTTTTTTTCCTTTTCTTTCAGGGCTGGGTGGTGGCAGAGAAGGGTAGGTCTTGTTTTATGCACAGTATTTAAAATAATCAGGGATTTTTTTTTTTTTAAACACTGTTTCCATTTCAATCAATCTTGTAGCCAGTATAGGCAACTTGAATTCAGATTGTCTGGGCAACCTTAAGAAAAAACAAGCCCTCATTTAGGAATGTTTGCTGAGTCGCTCTTAAATCTCAGCTCCTATTTGCCCTCAAACTACTGTGCTTTTTTCCCTGACACAGGACTTTGTTCACAATGACGTTTGCAACTCTAGTGGGGGAAAAACAAAAAACCTCCCACCAACTACTATCTTTATTTTCAAAAATCCTCCTGTAATTTGATTTTGAGTTTTTTTTTTTTTTTTTTTTTTTTTTTGAGACAGAGCCTCAAGCTGTCCCCCTGGGCAGAGTGCCGTGGCATCACAGCTCACTGCAACCTCCAACTCCTGGGCTCAAGTGAGTCTCCTGCCTCCGCCTCCCAAGTAGCTGGGACCACAGGCGCCCGCCACAACGCCCGGCTATTTTTTGGTTGCAGCCGTCATTGCTGTTTGGCGGGTCCGGGCTGGGGATTCGAACCCGCCACCTTAGGTGTACGTGGCTGGCGCCTTAGCCGGTTGAGCTATAGGCGCCGAGCCTAGAGTTCATTTTTAATGCCCTAAGACAGAGAGTCCTCAGCCCTTGACTGATGTACAGAAAGACAAGAGGCCCCTACTCCATGGAGAAATGTATTTTCCCAGCTTCCACAGGGCTTTCGAGAAAGAATGTTCCAGGAGCTGAGTGTCAGATACTAGACATCTACCAGTGCTTTCTCAAAGTCAGCAAGAAGCAGAACACAAATTTCCAGCATCAGTAACTCCCCAGTCAAAAAGACACACATCTCCCAGCAACAGCCTCAATAGGTCTCATTACTCCACTGCGCTGCCAGCTTCTTGGACCCACAGTACCCCTGATAATGGGCTGCCCACTGATTCCAAGTAATATTTTCAAGCTCAGGTCAAAAGGCATCCCCTGAATTACCAAAGCTTTACTAGGAACTCTTTAATCTAGTTTTGGCTTTCATTCTAAGGATTGACTAGATACTGAAGATGAAATACAATCAGAAAGGAGATCCTTTCTCCCAACCTCAACACAGAAATTTAAATACATCCACATATTAATTTCTACTGGCTATACATACAAATAGCCTGGTGAGTTGAATGAATTTTGAACTTTCATATAATTCAAAATCATCCATACTTTAAACAAGCACTCATTCACTGAGAGTCCAGTAAGTACCAGGTCCCCCTAATAGGTTTTGGGGATTGATAAAGCATAGTCCCTACCCAAAAAGAACATGGTATAAAGGAAGAAAATGACAGACAGATGGAGAATTGTAAGCCACTGTGGTAAGTGCTCCAGGGCATATTTGCATAGTTGCTTCAACAGCAGAAGAGGAACAATTTTAATATCTGCTCAGGAATAAAAGCCAGAAAATGGGGGTATCTACAGATCAGAGCTAAATATGCAGTTAATGGAAGATAGCTTATTAGTTTAAAAAAACAAAGGTAAACGCTGGTCTCAACCTTCCAATCTGTGGATCAGTCCCAATCCTTAAGAAAGTCGAGTTTGTCATAAAGCTAAATATATTCAATTTAAGAGCTATCTGTTGTTCTGAGATTAAATCCTTTTAACATGCTGTTAAAATCATCCTTTACTTTCTGAAATCAAAGTAGGAGACATTAACTGTGTTTGTTTTTAAAAGCTGTGATCAAACAAAACAAAGAAAAGCTGGCAACCCTATGTTGGTTGCTGAAATTCTGATTATGTTACTGGTCCATGACATTAAAAAACTTAAAGTATGTATGATGAATGAATATATGTATTATTGACAACACTGGAAAAGCAATTTTTGTTTAAGAGAGCATTACTCTAGACAGGGGAGGAATAGTAAGACAAGGCTCAGCGTTAAATGGATTGGGGTTGGGGGGGCCCAAATGAGACTGCTCAAGGACAGTAACCACTTACCACACCCCGATTGTTCTTCAGTTCGCCATGACAACACAAGACTCGTGAGTTGTCAATCAGGGAGTCTTTCTGGCCCTCTTCCAAGTAAAGAAGACGCTCTTTATAATAGCGGCATTCAGATTCCCCAGTCTTGGTGTTGATTTCTGCCACGATTCCCTGAATGATGTTTATCTGTGGGAAGAAAGAGAAAATAAGTATGGGGGAAAGTCAGCAAACCATCCACAACCAACAAGTTTTAGGGGCTCAGTCTAGAAGGTCACCAAGACACACTTGGATTTAATTCGGAGATTGTTATCTAAGTTGCTGCTTTGGGAAAAGGGAAAAAAATAAATGCCCTTAGTATAATTGTACCTATCTGTACACATACACATATATACACATACATATATTTCTTTGTATACATATACATCTATTTGTATTATATGCAAAACTAATGTTGATACATAATTTTATCTGAAAGGAAGAGATAGAGGCATAGTCTTTGTCGTGCACAACTCAACTATAAAAGCCCATGCTTCACATTTCTTAAATCATGCTCACAATGTTGAAAATGAAGGCATCTAAAAAATTTGACCAAAAAGAGAAAACAAAACAGAATGTAAAATTCCAAAAAAGAGATCCATTTTGGGGAGCTGAAAGCTAATTTCAAGGTCTCTCTACACATACTCAATTTAAAGCACAAACAATATTTGCAATATCAGGTGTGAATAAATGGTTTGCTTATCTTTTTAGTGATAAAACATAAATGTTTTATGAGGAACAGAGAAAAAAGAAGGGAAAGTAAAGACATTAGGAGCACTGGTGGGGGCAGCTGGTATGTGATCACTCATGCCCATGTATATGGCACATGTTAAGCTAGGAGCAGAAGATTCCAAAGCAATGGAGGATGTAATGTAGTTACTACAAAAAATAACAGAGTACTGCACTGAGACATGATCATTGGGTATTTATTCTGATGTGTTGTTATTCTATCACGTAGATAATACGTTTAGATGCTAGAAAATAGTTGAAAACGAAGGAATGAGAAATTAGCAAAACTCAATGACACCAATCAAAGGCAAAATGATGACTCCCTCAGCAGGATCTTCTGTCTTGCAACCATCCCATCTTTCTTGTCGTGGTAACTGAAAAGAACTTAACAGGTGGAAAATGTTGGTAAGATCTCTTCTTGGTCACATTTACTTAATAGAAAAACCAATCTCTGTGCAAAGCAAGGTTCTAAAGAGGCTTTTACTCAGTCAAAAGCTACTATATCTTTTAATGGCTTAAAGTGGAAATACTTCTCTCTAAGATTAAGTGACTATTTTTCATATGCTAGTAAAATAGTACCATCTGCCCAAAGCAACTGGGTAAAAACTATTACCTAATTATAAATTTTGGACTTCACACAAGTTTGACAGAAAAATCTTACAGCTCTGAGCTGAAGTCTGGTACTCTATGAATGGATACATAACCTGAACATTATTATAGCTATTAGGAGTTTCAAAAATCATTTAATCATTCTTTGCTCTATTTTCCAAATTCTGGTTGGTAGCAAATTCAAATTCACTTAACTAATGTTTGGTGTTAGACTAGGTGGTACCATTCAAAGAAATTAGAGTGGGTCCCTATTCTCCAGAAGCTTAACATCTATGGGAGGTATTTGAGCATTTCTGTCTACCTTATCCTTTTATGTATCTACATTTTTTTGCTTTTCGTTTTTGAGACAGAGCCTCAAGTGATCACCCTGGGTAGAGTACTATGGTGTCACAGCTCACAGCAACCTCCAACTCCTGGACTTAAGCGATTCTCTTGCCTCTGCCTCCCCAGTAGCTGGGACTACAGGTGCCCACCCCAAAGCCCAGCTATTTTTTGGTTGCAGCCGTCATTGTTGTTTGGCAGGCCCAGGCTGGATTTAAACCCGCCAGCTTGAGCTACAGGCGCCACCACGTATCTATATTTTTAACCTGTAGTGGAATTCAAACTTTTCCCTTGCTCTTAAAGACCTTAGCATTAACTAATACTAAGTGTACCACTGTGTGTACCTGGACAGCTAGAATTAATACACTCCAGTCAATTTTCCAAATTTCCTGCAAGTACCCAGGAAACCAGAAAGAAGATGCATTACATGAATAAAGATGTGTTCATTTCCTGATTTAACTCGGAGCTGAACAGCTGGCTTCTCACATGAGATGATAAACTCAAATGCCACCATGATTCCTTAGGCAGCTATGACTACTTTCAAATACTGCTTCTGTCTCTGGGATTTAAAAAACTAAAGAGAGACAAAGCAATGGAAACAATTGGTGTCATCATTCCATAATCTATGAACAGGCCTGTCTGGAAAGTATCCAGTCGCTCATGTCTCTATTACACGGCTGGTTACTTTCTGGTCAGCTCTCACATACATGTATGAATAGTAATTCTGGATCTGTTTTCATTTATTACAAATAATATTTTATATCTACCTGAATATCATAAGGGTCTTACCTCTCTGCCTTCGTCTTTGAGAGATTTATTCTGCAGGTTTTCAGGGAGATATAAAGTTACATACAGAAGGTTGCCAATAGCAAACAGTCACTGTAGTTGTGCATTTAAACTCAATTTGTTGCTGCATCTCTCACTGGGGTTCAAACTGAGGAAAGGACTCCCTGAGGAAAGGGAGATGATGAGCGATACAGCACAGGCATTAAGCCTTTACACGCTGGGCTCATTATTCTCCAAGTTGACTCTGAAAGCCCTGTCCGTCTGACCTCTTGCAATACATTGTCATCTACTCATTGGCTCCTGACATGAACCAAGAATAGCACTTCTTAACAGCAGGACTCTTCTTCCCATTGATTTCAGTAAATGTTTTGTAAGGAGCTGGAGGACAGTGATGGGTGGGGGGAAGAGACGGTCTACAGGATTATTTTTTGGCTGGAACACTCCTTAGAATATAAAATACTAAGCAACCAGTTCTCTGGAATATCTGAATGCCCAAAGTCCTTTTTTTTTTTTTTTGAGACGGAGTCTCAAGCTGTCCCCCTGGGTAGAGTGCCATGGCCTCACAGCTTACAGCAACCTCCAGCTCCTGGGCTCAAGCGAGTCTCCTGCCTCAGCCTCCCAAGTAGCTGGGACTACAGGCGCCTGCCACAGCGCCGGCCATTTTTTGGTTCAGCCATCATTGTTGTTTGGCAGGCCCGGGCTGGGGATTCGACCCCACCACCTTAGGTGTATGTGGCTGGTGCCTTAGCTGATTGAGCCACAGGTGCCGAGCTCCAAAGTCCTATTTTAAGAAGTTCTCTTTTGAGGGAAATTTCTATCTACCTTCAAAATACTTGTTAAGAAATCCTAATAAAGATGTGTAGTAATTTAGGCACTGCATTAAAAACAAGACCTCCTTTTAGATTAAACCATAGGACTGAACGTAATCAATTCCCTTGGTGCAGAAGCAATTTACTTAGCATCTCTGAATTTTTTTCCTTTTCATAGATGGGAGATTTTTTCAGGGAGCATGTAAGTCAAGTCACATTGGCACTATAGGTTTTATGTTTTTCAGACATTCACAATGCACCCAAGAGTGCAGGGGTAAATAACTCTGCTCATCTGGAGTAATACTATCAGGATTTTGAAAAGAAGGGGAAAAAATTCTGTGCCTATACTGTGTAAACGGGCACTTAAAAAGACTTGCTTTGCAGATATTTTCAAATGCAGGTATACTGTGCTTCATGTACAGATCTGCAGATTCAGCTTTCACACACTAGGGAAACTGGTTACTGGCACATCCTTTTATATTGCAAACAATCATATTCTTATCTATCTGTTTTTAAATTCAAACATAAGCACTGTGGGTGTTTTTAAAAACAGAACAGTATTCTTTCATGCTGCATATTAAAAAGGAAGAATCTTTACAGTAAAACTCATAACATGCTCCTGTGCTTCAAAAAAGGAATTATTTAGAGTAGCTTGAGCTCCCTGTTGTTTTCATTCCTGCAGACCACACACTTGCCAGGATGAAATATGGAGAGAAGGAAACTCTATCACACTCTTCCCAGGAATAAAAACAGACATGATGAAGTGAGTTGGGCCTCATCTTCAGTGCCTGAATCCCCCATCTGTGCTGGATTGAGGGCCTGGTCTCTCTGTGTGGGGCCTGGCAGATACACTGCACACCTCCTGAATCAAGAGAGAGCCTTTCCTCATTATTCTTTTTCCTACATGGAGACACAGCCCAGCCCTGCACCAGTGAGGCCTTTCTACTGGGGTTCAGAATTCTCTAATAAGTCTGAGGACCAGGCAAGTCTCTGCAATTCTAAAGGCAACAGGGGCCGAAAGGAGCACCCAGGCTTTCTGTATCAAGGCATGGAATCATAAAGAAGTAGAAAAGCACAGGATTTGGAGTCTACACTGACAGAATTTAAACATCAACTCCATCACTTGCTGGCTCACGGCTTGGACAAGCTACTTAACCCCTCCAAGCCTCACTTGGAAAATGGTCCTATTAAGAACAACTATCTCATAGGTTACTGTGAGGGTTAAATGAGACACATACCCTATGAGGTTATTGCATAAAGTTGATGTACTTATAATAAATGTCAGCAATTACTATGATTAGTGTTATCGTTACTATTACTAATTATTAATTCCCTCTCTGGGAGGAGATAGGCAGTTTGCTTAAGGAGGTTCAAGGCTTCTGATTATCAAATTACCTATGCATATCCTCCTTCTGTTATTGTCTTAGATCAAATCAGGAAAGGCGCCCTCTGAATTGGCCTGCTATCCTCTGTCCCCACTGCTTCCTCCTCAGCCAGGTTTTCACAACTTTACACTTGGACCACTGCAGTGTCCTCTCAACTTGTTTCCCTGTCACTAGGCTCCTCCCCCCTTGATCCCCTGTTCTAAAGAGAGTAACATGTCCAAGTTCACACAATTTGTAAGTGATGGAGCTGAGATCTGAATCCGGAACTCCAGGTACATTACAGTGTGTTTCATGTAAGCACTGTATTTTAAAGGTCAGGAAACTGAGGCAGAGAGAGGAGAATTGAACTGTAAAATCAAACAGTTGATAGTAGTGCCAGGCCTGGAACCCAAGATTCCTGAGTCCCAAGTCACCAGGCACCCTTTCATTCACCTATTGACCCAACCCACTAGTCATTATGTGGGAAATAACAAGGGAAGAGGGGAAAAAGCAGACAGACTCACAGCTTCTTCCAAGTGCTGCTGATCTGGATTATCATTTGGTGTGTGCCTCAGAATTTCTCGAAGAAGCAGAGGATATTTCACCAGACGGCTTCTTGGAATATCAAGGAAATTCCAGAGATCTAGTTTGCGGCTAAAGGGAGATTCTAAACAACGCTGCAGGAAATCCTGGACTCGGTGGTCTTGTTTTTTGTGGTCCAGCAGAGCTTTGGCAGCTACTTGATTGCTGCAGTAGCTGTCATAGGAGCTGAGACAAGGCAGCTAAGAAGGAAAGAGAGAAAAATGGGGTGTCAGAGTAATTAAGCTCTGAAGCTACAAGTGGCATCACTCACTGGGACCGAAGAAACACATAACTGGTCTCCAGGCCTGGCCAACATTCTATTTTTTAAAAAGCACACTCTCTAGCCGGGCATTGTGGTGGGCACCTGTAGTCCCAGCTACTTGGGAGGCTGAGGCAAGAGAATCGCTTAAGCCTAGGAGTTGGAGGTTGCTGAGAGCTGTGCTGCCACCCAGGGAGACAGCTTGAGGCTTTGTCTCAAAAATGTAAACTTTTTTTTTTTTAAGAGATAGGTATTGCTAAGTTGTCCAGGCTGGTCTTGAACTCCTGGCCACAAGTGCTCCTCCCTCCTTACCTTCCTGAGTCATTATAATTACAGGTATGAGCCTGTATACCTGTTATACCTGTTTTTTAAATTATTGGCTTTTTAAAAAATTATTTTTATTTTATTCCCAACATTCCTTTATCCGCATGGCTGGAGGGAATTAGCAGCATCTTCAAAATGACAGGCAATACAGTTTTCCTAGGCTCTGGCTGGCTTTCACAGAGTAATTTTCTTTTTTTTTTTTGCTTTTTGAGATGAAGTCTCACTCTGTCTCCTTGAGTAGACTGCCATGGCATTGTAGTTCACAGTAACCTCAAATTCCTGAACTCTAGGTAGTCTCTTGCCTCAGCCTCCCAAGTAGCTCAGATTACAGGCACCCACCATAGTTCCAGCAAGTTTTCTATTTTTAGTAGAGATGGGGTCTCCCACTTGCTCAGGCTGATCTCAAACTCCTGAGCTCAAGCAATCTACCTACCTCAGCCTCCCAGATTGCTAGGATTATAAGTGTGAGCCACCATGCCCAGCTCATAAAGTAATTTTCTTAGTTGTATATTTCCTTTATTGATTTTAACCCTGTTGTTATTTTTTTGTACTGCATATGCATATTAGATAAGAATTTTTCTGATCTTCCAATAATATACAATAAGGTGAAAGGCTAAAGGATCTGTTTTCAAATTATGTATAAGAACCTAGAAGACTAAGTTCCACAGAAGAGACATGAGGGTCAGACTCCACACTCTTGTCCTTGGTGTGGCTTGGTACAAGAACCTCTATATTAGTTTAAGATTATCTGATTCTGGGCGGCACCTGTGGCTCAGAGGAGTAGGGCACTGGCCCCATATACCAGAGGTGCTGGATTCAAACCCAGCCCCAGCCAAAAACTGCAAAAAAAAAAGATTATTTGATTCCAAGGTGGCCCAATATTAATACTACATATAAAGGGCCTCAAGAAGTTAAAGCAAAAATACGATTAGTAAAAATAATCATATTCAGGAAACATTTATAAAAGTTTTTTAAATTAGTTCTGACAGGCCAGAAACCATTTTTGGCTATAACTAATGGTTAACATCACAATACCATACAAGAAACAATTCAAACTTAAAGACTTTGGAACATTTCAACCCCACTGCCTTCATTCCAGCAAAATGTTCACTTCCCTGGCATATCCCATCAGTCACATTGTGTACACACCAGGTGGGAGAGTCAATGGTAAAAGCTTCTCATCCCCTTTTTCTACTTCTCTCTCTTAAATGGCACCCAAGGGCTACCAGCTCCAGGAAGTTACCAGAGGAAATAACACAACCAATGGCTTAGCTGACTTTGTTTCTCTGCCTTGGACCAGAAAGCAGCATTCTCTTTGACACTTGCCCTTCGGAGGCGTTTGGTGTGAGATACTGGCAAGATCCTCAGTACTTTCCATGGGGCCTACTACACAGCAGAGACACTCTAAGATTTTGTTCTGAATGAACAAACTCAGAAACGTTTAAAGGATTATAAGATTATGTAATATTTGATGTTGGATTAAAAATAAAGTGTGGCAGCATCTGGAGGTTTAACTATTCTGCTGCTGCTTTTACACCTCTTAATGAAATTATTTTCTTTTTCTTTTTTTTTTTTTTGAGACGGAGCCTCAAGCTGTCCCCCTGGGTAGAGTGCTGTGGCATCACTCACAGCAATCTCCAACTCCTGGGCTCAAGCGAGTCTCCTGCCTCCGCCTCCCAAGTAGCTGGGACCACAGGCGCCCGCCACAACACCTGGCTATTTTTTTGGTTGCAGCCGTCATTGTTGTTTGGCGGGCCCAGGCTGGATTTGAACCCGCCACCTTAGGTGTATGTGGCTGGCACCTTAGCCACTTGAGCCACAGGCGCCAAGCCAATGAAATTATTTTCTCAGTGACTGAAACCAAGAAAAGATAACAGTGACATAATATTTTAAAAGTTCACTGTTGAGCTTAACTTTCCATAGATATGTCTACCTTCCTTACATGTTATTTAAAAACCCCTCTGCTTATGTTAAAAAAGCTACAGAAATTTTCTCTTCAACTTTATATTTGAAAGTAATGATAATGGGCACTTACACACACACACAGACACACACACACACACACACTCCAGATCTGGTGCTGCAGCTTGTAATTTAGATTTTCAGAGTTAATTTTAAAAAGGCCTCAGGCCTGCTTAATTTCATTTCTACTTCCTCACCTTTTAAAAAGATCTGGAAATGCCCAGTATTTTCATTATGGAGAAACAAATCAGCGGTAACCATCAGATGTAAACTAGTGAAGAACCTGCCCGCATTGTTCTTCATTGTCCAAGGGGCTGTTACTCTCTCTGATCCTGCCGCCCTGCTACCATAGCAACCAAATCAGGCTCTGGTCCTGTATTCACACCTGACGGGGTGCTCATTTCCTAGGCATGACCTGAAAGGCTATCTGGTTCAGACATCAGCTACAAACTACCATTATGTAGTGAAGTGATCTTTAACTATACAGAGGATGAAGAGCGTAAGCATCTTGGCTCCCAAATACATACATACTCACTTATTTAGAATATAAGAGGTGAAAATGCAGTGGTTAAGACAGACTCTGAAATCAGGGAGAATCAGGCTCAAAGTCTAAACTGGACAGCTGTTAGTGACTTCTGAGCCCACTTATAAAATGCATATACTAATGTCTTCCTCTCTTAATGAGCTAAAGCATGTTAAAATGTGTAGCATGGAACCTGGCTTCTGGCTGAGAATCAGTAAGTGTTAGTAATTATTATCTGTCCCTAGAATATTTTTGTTGAAGAATCTGTGGTTTAGAAGAGCCACGCTACTCACACAACTGGAAATAAAACCAGAGTCTCAAGCCTGTTCTTGCCTCTCCCATGACCCTAAAGCTCTGAACTACTCGCTATCTCTTTAAATAGATTATCAATAATTTAGAAGGGAAACTTTTTCATTTTTTAAAGTAATTCTTCCTATCTTCCTAATATTGTGATGACAGAACAAATCATTTTTTTTTTTTTTGGCTTCCATATACCCTGCCTCCCTCTAAGGAATTAAAATTTAATTAGAACCCAAATTAACATGAGAACTTGCTGCCTTAGAGAGCTTATAAATTATTTTATTACTGAAAAAAAAAGTTAGCATGAAGATAAATCACTTGGGAAGGTGTTTCTTTATGATAGGGAAGGCTTACTCAAACAAGTTGACCCATTAGGGAGTGGGAGGATCCTGATCCCCAGTAACCAGGGTGGTTTTCTGAAAAAAAAAGCAACCACTCTCTTTAAGGTCTTCAAAGTAAAAGTAATTGATTCATTTTAAGGTCAAAATGACTGGACAGGGCTGTCTCACTTGGAAGGCTTACTTGTTTAAAGGGTTTTTTCCCCCCACTTTTTTCTTTTGTGGAGAGGGATAAAATCAATTTTTCATGGCTTGAATGGGCTCTGACTTTTCTCATTCAAAGTTCACTAAGATGTGTATTTTGCTCTGTTAAAAAGAACAGAACTCAAACAGATGTACCCTTTGGTTTACAGTTCCCACTTGCATGGACACATCTGCAGTTAAAAGAGGAAAAACATTTAACAGCTCATCGGGCCTGATAAATAAGAGCTGTTTTTCATAGGGTCTGCTAACAATGGGCAAGTTGTTTAATTTTAGGCTGCTCTTTAAGCTGCAAGTCCCCATTTGATGGCTGAGGAGTCCAGATAGCAATGGACTGGCATGGTCATGCTTCCTTTGGGTATGTACAAAAAAGGACTGTAAAAGCTGTTCTCAGATTAAATCAATTTTTTAATAAAACGAACAAACATTTCAGAAAAAAAGCTAATAACAGGCAAATTCCTACCATTTTTCTTCTGGCACAACTTAACAATTTATATGTGATGTTTAGGGAAACCATGTAGTTCTATACTGCTGTTTTGTCAAAAACTGAGGAGTTATCCTTCTAATTCTGGAGTGTTGTCTCACTGCCTCCTTTACCTCTGTCAAAGCAGGCCACAGACTCAGGAAGTTAAAGAAACACTGGGGGAAAAGAATCCCTATTTAATAAGTGGTGTTGGGAGAAAATTGCCACCACATCACAAAACCAACTGGACCAGAACAAGCTAAGAAGCTGTGCACAGTGAAGGACACAACAATTAAAGCAAATAGACGACCTTCAGAATGGGAGGAGATACTCACATGTTACAGATCTGACACAAGGCTAATAACCAGACTCTATAGAGAACTCAAACTAATCAACAAGAGCAAACAATCTCATTTATCATTGGGCAAGAGGCATGAACAGAACCTTCTCCCAAGAATACAGACAAATGGCCAACAAACACATGAAAAAATGCTCATTGTCCTTCATCATCAGAAAAATGCAAATCAAAATCATCTTGAGATATCACCTAATCCCAGTGATAATAGCACATGTCACAAAGCCCCAAAGCTATAGACATTGTCCTGGATGGGGAGAGAAGGGAACATTTAGACACTATTGGTAGGATTGCAAACTAATATAGCCTTTGTGGAAAAAGTATGGCGAATCCTCAAAAAGCTACAAGTAGACCATCCATTTGATCCTGCAATCCCATTACTAGGTATCAACCAAGAAAAAAACACCTTTTTACCATAAGGACATTTGTGCTAGAATGTTTACTGCAGCTAAACAGTGGAAACAACCCAAGTGCTCATCAACCCATGAATGGATTAATAAACGGTGGTATATGCATACCATAGAATACTATTCAGCCATAAAGAAAGATGGAGACTTTACATCTTTTGTATTTACCTGGACAAATTTGGAAAAGATCCTCCTAAGCATCCCAAGAATGCAAAAGCAAGCACCTAACATACTCAATAGTAATATAAAACCAGTAGATGAATAACTATATGCCCAAATAAGAGAAAAAACACAAATAAACTGAAGTGGGGAAGGGCGAGGAGGAAGAGTGTTAAGTAAGCTCTCACCTAGTAGGTACAAAGTAGGGGTATATGGCATACCTGCTGGGTAAAGGACTCAACTACAACTTAAACTTTACCTAACAAATGCAAACAGTGTAACATAATCACACGTATCCATATATTAATCTTAAATTTAATAAAAACAGAAATACGAGGCAGATCCTCTTGTCATTATACTTTCTCTGGCTCAAGTTGGCTGGCTCTCTTTAGAGAAATTTCTTTGTGGGCCAACGAAGTTAAAACACCTACCATGACTCATAATAAAATGAAATTCAAAGATATAAGATAAATGATCTCTCTTGAAATATTAAGGCACATTTTCTAAATTATTCATTTTAGAACATTACTTGCCTTTCAGAAACCCTTGGGATAGTTCAGCCTCAGTACTAAAATTGACTCCTGAACTAAAGCTGTCTAAGTCATGAAACCTTTAAAGTTTCTTGACCACAGCAGTCACTGAGAAGCAGAAGAGGCCAAAGTTAAAACTTTCTGCATAGCCACAGATCACCAGGGTCTGAGAACTGGAAGGTTTCAGGAAGGTTAAAATACAAGTAGAACTGGATAAAAACTTTTACAGCACCCTCCAAAGAGTGACATAATCGCCAATACTAGTTGCTATGGCACTTCCTTTCTATTTTTCGAGAATAGTATGTGTATCAGAGGGAGGAGAGATCTAATCTTGCCTATAAGAAGTCATTATAACATAACCTGCTTTATATCAAATGAAAAAGTACCCAGAACTGGGCCAGAACACTCAAGTACTCACAGAGGGAAACAGAAATGTATAGAATGGGGGGAGTAATGGGTATTGTGGCAAACTACATGCCTTACCTAAAGTACATTAAGCAAATAACAATATTATGGATCCAATAAAACACAAATTCAGCCCTGGGACCATAAATTTATACTCCATAATCTGAGGTCACAGTATATTTTGTTTATTTAATTAGGAAAAGGAATAGGTTATGTTGGGATGAAGGTCAATAGAGAACCAAGCTCTCCTATGAAGTTACTTAGGACCCTATATATGCTAAACACTAGCAACATTTACTTAACTTATATTCTTTATAAAACTATATTTTAGTGTTACTTATATCCCAAAAAGCTTTTTTGGTAGTGAATAGAAATGTCAATCAACTTTTTTTTTTTTTTGAGACAGAGTTTCACTTTGTTACCCTTGGTAGAGTGCCATGGCATCACAGCTCATAGCAACCTCAAACTCTTGGGCTTAAGCAATTCTCTTGCCAGAGCCTCCCAAGTAGCTGGGACTACAGGTGCCCGCCATGATGCCTGGATATTTTTAAGAGACGAGGTCTCACTCCGGCTCAGGCTGGTGTCTAACATGGGAGCTCAGGCAATCCACCTGCCTCAGCCTCCCAAGTGCTGGGATTACAGGCATGAGCTACCACACCAGCACGTCAATCAATATTTACTGGACTAAAAATGGTGATAATTATTAATATATTACTAAATGGCCTGAATCAAACATTAAGAAGTTTTATTTTTATTTGATGTGAAACTAGTAATAGTTTCATGCATACCTTTACTTATTTTATTGCAAAAAGTTCATATTATTTTAAAATATAATAAATTTATAATAAGAAAAAATTGTTTTCATGCTTTAAAGAGATAAAGACTAAAAATATTTATATTAATCCATTTTATTAGGAATTTGAATTTTTTTTTTCTGATGTGAAACCAATATTTGCCAATAAAAAAAGTCTTGCTAAAATGATACTCCACCTAAATTGCTGAAATTTATCTTCAACCAAGACCAGAAAACTTTTCTTACCCAGCCCACGAGGATGGGACCAACATGTTCAGTCGAGCCATCAGGCTTCCGAACATCTCGAAGCTGACTAAGGAGCTCTGGCAAAAAAACAAACAGAATGCTGATTTTGTTAGGCATACAAATATGAACAGGGCTGGAAGTAGGTTCTGGGTTATTCATATTGAAGGTATTACATAATCATTGACTTGTTATAAGACAACTCAATTAAGGCTACAAGTCACAACTCGTTCTGGGAACAAAGTATACCTTCATGCAGAGGAATTAGAGAGTCCAGTGTTCCAAAGATTTGATTCAACTCTTGTTCTGTCATTATGGAGAGTTTCAGCATGGGGTCGTGATAGGCCTGCATGAGAAGGGCAAGAAATGGAAGCAAATATTTAAAATCAGAGGAAGTAAACTGTTCATACAGATGGTTCCCGAGAGGTTCCATCAATAACAGAATGTTGGCTGTCTAAACAACAGCTTCTTGCAGAATGCTACAGAAACAGCACAGAGGTGTGGCTGGAGGGGAGGAGAATCCAGCACTGCCTCCAGCCTTTGTGTCTGTTGATAACCAAAGCAGGTTTTTCAAAAGCTTTTTTATTCTAACATATCATATATCTAAGAAAGAGCATAAATCCTAGGTATAGAGTAGATCTGACTGTTACAATGTTTTTTAAAATTAAAAAGATCATGCATCTTCAAAAACTCCCCCATTATTCAAAATTAGCTACTGGCAGATTCTTTCTCAATTAGTACACATTTAAAATAAAGGAAAAAAAAAAGAAAAGAAAAAGTTATTGGCATCTTTTACTATGGACTTGAAGCAAAGAGAGAAAAACCTCTGCCAATCCTACTGTCTCTTGTTAAAGATAATTAAAGGACAAGAATATACAGTTATACCAAGGCTCCGTTATAAAATATAAAGACTTAGAGGGCACAGTCCCTGCCTTCAAGAAATTTCATAAAGCTAATTGGGAAGATAAGAAAAATGCATGGGGCTTAGTGCCAGTAGCTCAATGGTTAGGGCACTGGCCACATACACCAAGGCTGGCAGGTTTGAGCCCGGCCCAGGCCCAGTAAAACAATAATGATAACGGCAACAAAAAAAATAGTCGGGCATTGTGGTGGGCACCTGTAGTCCCAGCTACTTGGGAGGCTAAGGCAAGAGAGTTTGTTGAGCCCAACAGTTTGAGGTTACTATGAGCAGTGATGCCATGGCACTCTATTCAGAGCAACATAGTAAAACTCTGTCTCAAAAAAACCAAACAAACAAACAAAAAAAAACAGAGGCAGCGCCTGTAGCTCAGTGGGTAGGATGCCAGCCACATACACAGAAGCTGGCCAGTTCAAACCTGGCCTGGGCCAGCTAAAGCAACAATGACAACTGCAACAACAACAACAACAAAAAATAGCTGGGCATTGTGGCAGGTGCCTGTAGTCCCAGCTACTTGGGAGGCTGAGGCAAGAGAATCACTTAAGCCCAAGAGTTTGAGGTTGCTGTGAGCTGTGATGTCATAGCACTCTATGTGAGGGCAACATGGTGAGACTCTGTCTCAAAAAAAAAAAAAGAAAAATGTATGGAAAACTAAATATATGTTTAAAAAATAGTTTAAGATTAAAAACAGGATGTATGTCACATGATAGCAATAAGTTATCAAATCATAACTGTGCTAGAGGGTTAGAGAATAAAAGCCGGAGTGGCCAGGGGAGGTTTTGAAGATGAGCTGCTTAGTGAAGAGGAGGAGGTAATAACTATTGTAGAAGTTATTGTAGAAGAATAAATCAAGATTTTAGCTGGTTGCTGGAGGATGGGGAGTATGGATGATTGAAAAGAAAGAGAAGAATTCCTAAGATAGTAGGACCACCATGTCAGAAAAACATCTGAAGGTGCATGAGGTTTGGCAAATCTTGGTCAGGAAGGAGGAGCTGGACATACGATCAGCATCACAACTAACAAAGTTAAATAACTTCTTTGTCCTCTCTGATCTCCTCTTCCTCCACCCCTCCCTAAAACAGTTTCTTGGCTGTGTCCGAGTGAAGCTTAGAAGGCCATCTATTAGGAACACTAGAGGTGGGACTTCATATTAGCAGAAAGCTAGACTAAAGATCCTTAAAAGGAGACATCCTTTCAACTCTGTGATTCTTGTTTATCTAATTTATTTTTTCAAATAGTCTCACTCTGTTGCTTAGGCTAGAGTGCAGTGGTGTGATAGCTTATTGCAGCCTTGAACTCCTGGGCTCAAGCAATCCTCCTGTATCAGCCTCCCAGGAATCCAGAACTACAGGTGTACAAATGTACTTGGCTAATATTTAAAATTTTTGTAGAGATAGGGGTCTTGCTATGTTGCCTGGGCTGATCTTGAACTCCTAGCCTCAAGTGATCCTCCTTCCTCAGTCCACCAAAGTTCTGTGATTATAGGTCACCTCTATGCATCACCACCCTGGAGCCTGTGACTCTCTGAGGCCATCAATACCAGATGAAGGAGTTTGGATTTTAGTCTCCAAGGCAGTAAGGGGGGGTAGGGTAGTCACTAGAACAAAAAGCCTTTTGAGAAAGGTTTGTTGTCAAGAATATAAAAGTTTTATCTTCTGATGCTCAGCATTGCCAAAAAGCCAAAATAATAAATAAAAGAATACACAGGCAACAAGGCATGGGTTTCCTCCTCCCCCCACACAACATTGATCAAAAGCAAGTTTCTATATAAAAGAGCCTCACTTCATTACTTTATCTACTCTCAACATTCACATGACTTTATTTCTAAGACACAGTTCAAAGTAATGAGAGCAAAACCTCTGCCAATCCTATTACCTCTCATTAAAGACAATTAAACAATAAGAAATCACAGTTATACTCGGGGCACTAGGTTTCAGACATCCACACATTCTCTTCCATGCTTCACAGGAGCTCTGCACATGAGACCTCCAGGACACTGAAACAGACATCAAGCCAGGCCTCCATGGATACCTTCTGAATTGAACCTGACATAGTCTTTGAGGTATATTAGAGACAGGCATGGGTGAAACCTTAAAGGTGCCAGGACCAGAGAGCTATTCTGCCTTTTTGTTTTGAGGCATTTCTGCCCACTGCTTTGTTCTCAATTTTTTTTTTTTTTTTTTTTAGACGGAGCCTCAAGCTGTCCCCCTGGGTAGAGTGCCGTGGCATTACAGCTCACAGCAACCTCCAACTCCTGGGC